AGGAATTTTTAGCTGAGTAATTAATGTCAGTTCCTAATTTTGTTCACATCTTATTCAGGTGACTTGAATCGTCAGATAACACAGTATTTTTGTGTAAAAAATTTTTCCAGCGTCCGGACTGCAATGTATCGCAACCAAAAGCAATATTCCGAAAAATCAAGTTTCAGGAAGAATGTGAAAGATGCAAGCACTAAAAAAACACGTTCTAACGAAGGCGTTGGCATTTACTAAAACACTTGTTGTCAGGAAGAATGTGAAAGATGCAATCACTAAAAAAAAAAACACGTGTTCTAACGAAGGCGTTGGCATTTACTAATACACTCGTTGTTTTTCTTATTGAATAGCCTTGAGACATTTGTATCGAAATGAGTAATTTGGTAGGCGATGTGAATCAATCTATGTGTTTCCGAAGATATCTTTCAGGAAATATTGCAAACAAAAACGCATTAGAACTTTCTGCATGTCAAAGAGAATGGTCCTTTAAAAATTGTATAAACTGTTAAACATTTTGCTTGGTTTGAGTCTTGGCACTTTTGTTCATTCTGCTTTTAAACTCGAATAGCTTATCGATGAATTTGTCTTTGAATATTATCTTTTAGTTTAATAAATATGCAACAAATCCTTTCATTCCAATTGCTTGCTATCTTCATCGTTCATTATTATTTCCTGAGAGTCCGAAAAATTTATTGCAGTATGTAGTTCAATGAAATTTTCTATTCTTAATACATAGAAAACTTTCATTGTACCTCGGAGAAAACGTAATCTGTGGATTACAATTCTAAAAGGGATGATGAATTCAGTCATTCCTGTTATTTTCCATCACCATCCTTATTAGTCTGTATTGAATATCTTCGTTATTCAAAATTCTCAGTCGTACTTGTAATATGTACTCTTCCTCTGTTATTTGTTTTTTGTATCAAATTTTAATTTATACTTTTTTAGTGAACGTTTTGTCTTGGGCAGTAATTTAGATATTCTATGTGTGCTTTGGCTCTCTTCCATATTTACTTGTTAGCCTATGTTGTACATTTTTCTTTAAAGTTTATATTTTAACTGACACTCAAACTAAACACTAAAAGAATTGTCGGTGTCTCGCAGCTGAAATGTGATTTTTTGTTGGGAAATAAACTTACTTGATCGACAATTCTACGGATCTCGTCTTCTATAACTGACAAGCTGAATCATACATAAATTAATGCTTTTCTGCACTCGGAGGCTCGAATTTGAGCATAAATTTTTATGTATTTGTTGATACTGCTGCTGTGATAAATCATATTAACGTGTTAAATACATTTATTTTCTGTTATGTTCAGCAAAAGTTCTATATCAGAAAGTTTCACTTCATGTGGTATTTCAAAGTTTCAAAAAATTGCAATATTGATATTCTGAATTCACTAACGTCCGCAGCTATGCTAGTCACTCCCAAACACTCCTCAACTTGCCCTCAATACAACTTCTTTACAATTAACTGCTCAAAATTTTAATTACTTATATAAATTTGATGGCAGTTCCTGTGATGTGCAACGTGGCGGCAGTAGACCTCATGTATCACCGTAGAAGGTATCCGACGGCCCAGTTTAGTGTTTATGCCCTGCGAGCGACGACAAGCTCAGCTTAGCTTCACCAAGGTCACAGTAAAATTGCTTTGAAGCATCACGGGTAATGGTTTATCAATATTACCATGGTAGTATTTTTTCATTTCTGCCAATATCCTCCGCATGCCAATTGGTGTTGGTTATACTCACTCATTAATGATTAGATACACTGCTACCGTTGCTACTATTGCGTCTGCTGCTGAGACTATTGCTGCTGCTGCTGCAGCCGCCGCCGCTGCGCCAGAAACACCCAAGCTTGCGTACGTGGCTGCAAGCCTCGGGCTAAGCCGCGCGTTTCAAACTTGCTTGCGGTAGCATCGCTGTTTGACTGTCATCATGACCTTATTTTAGCTTATAAAGCCAGGGAATAAGAATTAATTAACTAGTCCCAGCGATTTTGATACCATTTTCTTCTCATAGTTATGTTCGATCGGTAATATATATTGGTATCCGAAACATTTCGATCAACCGCATTAAAAGAAAAGTATGAACTACAATTGAAAAACTGCAATATACGTTTCAAATTTTACTGATTACGCAAAATAAACTTTTGATGATAAGTATATAAATATAAAAAAGTACAAAAATAGATGATCGGTGCCCGTGCCAGGAAGAGATGGCGCGAAATTATCCTTGCGTCGCGTCGGCCCGCGACCTTCGCCGAGAGTTCAACAAACTTACGTGAATTAGCTTTGGCAATTTTTTAAGTGGAAATATCAAGCTCAAACAAATATATTTTTCACGTTACTTTGATCATTAAAAACGTAACATTTTTGCCGCATTTATTATGGTCATTGCACTAAAATAAGACAAGCCCTTTTGCAGGTGATTCTTGAGTAAAATCAATCAAGATCGGTTATTTTTATTTTAGATAACATTTATCATAATTATTAATGAAGGTACTAAAATAACTATTGTCTTACAAAGCTACTCTTCATTAATTTTTTGTGTACGATTTCAAATCTTTATACAGGGTTGAAAATTCTATCTTGGAAAAACCCAGCTCATATATATTCAATTATTAAATAATTTCAATTATAAAAATATGTACCTATTAAACCACTTTCTAATATGAGTTAAAGAACCACGTGAAAAAAAGCTAAGGAACAAAGTAACAGGGAATAAATGTACAGAATCCACCGAATGTTTTGTGCTTACAAAATACACTGTACTTAATTTTTAACCTTATATCTTTGAGACACTAGATGCAACATATCAAACTTGGTACGAATGCTCAACAAAGTTTACAGTTGATAACGCCATTCAACGTGCAACATTATGCATTTCACAACATAGTACCATAGTTAATATAACTGCTTACTAAAGTCACCAGTTGTTAATGCTAGTCAACTTGCAACATTATGCTTTTCGCAACGTAACATAGTTGAAATAAATGCATACTAAAGTTATTAGTTGGTAATGCCATTCAACTTGCAACATTATGCGTTTTACAATATATATAAGATAGTTAGAATAAATGCTTACTAAAGTCATCGATTGATAACGCTATTCAACTTACAACATAATGCGTTTCACAACTTAATGTAGGTAAAATAAATACTAAAGTCACATGTTGGTAATGTCATTAAACTTGCAACATTACACCTTTTACGACATACCATGGGTAAAATAAATGCTTACTAAAGTCATCAGTTGGTAATGCTATTCAACTTGCAACATTATGCAACATAATATAACCAAGACGAATGCTGAGGCAGCAAGGCGACGCGTCGTGCATGGTAACCGCGCTAGTGCGCAGCACCGCCTCAGCCGCGCAACGCCCGCCGGTTGATCTGCCGCTGCCACGCTGGCTAAACGCTGCCTCGGGGGTAGCGCACGCCTGTGTCCTGCCTGCTCCTGCCAACACTTACGTGGCTACAGCGTAAATGATGAATATAATGAGAAATGACAAGTGACAGCTTAAATAATGAATTTAATGAGAAATGACAAGTGACAGCTTAAATAATGAATTTAATGAGAAATGGCAGGTGACAGCTTGAATAATGAATTTAATGAGAAATGGCAGGTGACAGCTTAAATAATGAATTTAATGAGAAATGGCAGGTGACAGCTTATGAAAAGAAGTTGATGGGTAATTACCGGTGACAGCGTAAATAAAATGAATTTAATGAGAAATGACCGGTGACTGCATAAATAAAGAATTTAGGCAGAAATGACTGGTGACTGCATAAATAATGAATTTAATAGGAATGACCGGTGACAGCTCAAGAAATGAATTTAGGGAAAAATGACCGGTGACTGCAAAAATGACGAATTTAATGATAAATGCCCGGTGACAGCGTAAATAACGAAATTAATGGGAAATGAGGAGTATTTTTGGGGATCGTATTTTTACTTATTATTTTCATTCCGAAATCAAAATATTACATGTTGCATATTTATACATCATAAGTTTGTTAGGCATCAATCCATATAAAATTTTACGTCTGTCTTTTGTGTGTGAACGAAGTGACATTTTTATCCCTGTTTGTTTTGTGCATTCAGCAGCAGCAGGCGCGAGCAATAGTTATTGCAACATTCCCTTTCAAACAAATATTGTGCTCAGTTAAAGAGGAGGAAAATTGCTGCAAGTAAACACGTTAATGAAATTCATTCAAAACAATACTCCTGCACTATGTGCGGTAGGCTCATTCAATTAAAAAAATAAAAAGTAGATAATTCAGTATCTTATTTGCGGATGTCGATTCTCTGCGATTCTCGTTGACTCTATTAATTGATTCATATTTCCGGATTTTCTCTTGTATAGACGTCATCATTTAATGGTGATTAAACTCGACGTTGCCGCGATGACCGAGTCATCATTTAATGGTGATTTGGTACGTTTTTTTCCAGCCATCTCAAAAAATAAATTAATGTTTTCTGCGATAAAAGAAAAATCTGTTTCAGAAAAACATTAAGTTGAAGTTGATGATGCCAAGCAGAATGAACATTAAAATGTATTTATTACTCGCTATAAATAAAGTGGATAGTTCTCACCTTGTATCATTTTAAACCCAAATGCGTGTAATGAATTCGACCTCGTACCAGTGCGACGACACCAAGCGTTGGGTGGTGAGCGCGCCGATGTGGCTTGTGCTGCGCTGGGCAGGAAAACGCGCCTCACTTCCATGCCGACCGGCGCAGGGTGCGGTGGATCTCAGTCGCGCGGTCGTAGCAGTAGCATATCCGCAATTATATCCTCGAACTGAAAAATAATCCGCTTAGTTATAGGTACTCTTTTTTCGACTTACCAGTCATAAACGTGCTGACGTTTTATTATTTCCTGTTTTTTCGGCTTACTATTTTTGAAAATTGGGAAGTTCGATCCGTTAATTACCATACACAACGAAAATGAAAATTGATGCTCTTCACTATTGAGTCATGAAGACGTGTACACGGCCAGCAGAAGCTTCAACATTGAGCAGTTGACAAGAGAATTTATTTCAAGGATCTAAGAAAAGCGTTGCGCCTGAATTATCTTGAATTATGGAAAACACCGGCATTTTCTGTAAGTAAACTGAAAGTTTGTAAAATTAATGGTAAGTTTGACGAAGAAAGATGCAGCTGGAGCAAATTTTGAGCGCCGCGGTGGAGGCCGGCGACGTGGACAGCCTCGCGCTCGACGAGCTGCCATCGCCCGACGTGCCTGCCACGTCCCCAGGCGCTCCAATGCCATCGTCAACGCGTGTGTTCGATGCACAGAATTCTCTTCACTCGAATTCCAACAACTTTTTGACAAGAATTAATCCTGTGGAAATGACTTCCTACGATGCTGTCACCTTGGTAAGAAAAGCAAGAGATGAAAATTTAAGTGACAAATTTGTGCATAATTCAGTTTCAATAACATCGAACAGCTCGTTGATTTCTGAATGTGATCCGCTGGGGGATGCCTCGGACGAATTTTCATTATTTAATCTCAGGGAAGACAGCCTCGTCATCACCTCTCAACAAGCTCTGGCGATGTTTGAAACTTCCAACGAAGACGTAAGTTCCTCTTCCTTTTCAAACCCATCATGTTTTGGAGTGAGAAATTCTAAAAAATCAGATTCGGACCATTTGAAAAACTTTGGAACCGTTACCGAAAACAAGAAAAAGGCTCAAGTTCACAACTGCGTTGAATTTAATGCTGAAGAAGTTGAGGGAGACGTGCCTGCTGCTTACGGTGAGGTTGAAATTGAAACTTCAACTTCCCCTGAAACCGTAACTCAAGCTTCAGAACAAGACACAGCTGCAGAGATAACTCTCACTGAACCTCCAGGAGAAGACTTTGAAATTCCTAATCTGGAGTTGGATCATTCGGTGAGTGCACAAGAACATGCAGAATTCGAAGCATCCGATGACTTTTGCGATGAACTGCCAGATATTACCACTGGAAATCCATCAAATTTATTGAGATATTCGAAATTACAAACGATAACTCGAAATTCTGATGATCACATGAACTCTGGTACTGAATACTTTCACAAGGACGGCCATTCGCCAATGAACGAATTCAATGCGAAAATAGTTGTGGTCAGTCGTCACGAAGCCTTCAACGATTCTGAAAACAACCAGACTGGCAACAACGCCACTATAACTCTTTCCGTTGATGAGGATCACATTAAAGATTCGAGTGATCAAAATAGTGTGTCCGAGCCAATGATGAGTCAGATTCTGAGTCAGACCATCAATAGTGTCCTAAACGATAATAGTTCTTCTGATATCCGGGATGATATCTCACTAGGAGATTTCGATAACATCGAGAAAATTTTAGGAAGTTCTACCTCATTCACGAAGAATCAAAACTCAGATTGTCCCGTTGAAAGTATAATCAATTTTAAAAGTGACAATGAGCCGCATTATACTTCTCTGACCCCGGTATCGACGTCCACAAACATGAAAACAATTATCAACGATAATGTAGGAGTCCTAGCTGGCTTAGAGCCTCCTGCAGGAGCTACTGTTGACGCCACTCTTGATGAAAATGGCCAGTTTTTAGTCCAAGTGATAGCACCTGGCCTCAACATGACAATTCCAAATCAATTTCTGAACAAATTGATGCCTCACAGTAACGAAACAGGCTCTCAAAGGGGAACAGACGACCACATGTCACCACGCCTAACTGATTTGGATGAGCACATGGAGGCTTTGATCAACATTCCAACAAATTCAGAAGATGAAAGTCATTCCAGCTCACAAAAATCAAAAAATAAGATGACTCGGAAAATTGCTGCTCCTGAATTTACAGAAGTTGAAAAAGGGTCGAAACAACCTGGTGAGTTTTCCCGGACGAAGCAAAAATGTATTACAACTAAAAGTCAAACGCTTGCCATCAAGAGAGACAGCAAAAAACTTAAGAAGGAAAAGAAAAGATTGAAATTTTTCAAGAAAATGTTGTCACGAGAACATATTCCGGAAAATAGTTTGTCACCATTCATTCACCCTACACAATTTCAACGATATCATCATTCAAGCATGACTGGGAACTCGTATTCGTACAATCCATACAACTGTTACCCTCATGCGATGTACAATTATGGACAACCAAGGGACTACTACTGCCCGAATGGACCGTATAACTCTTACCACAAGTCCTCGTTTACGCCGTTCGCTGCAGCTAACAGTAATAGTTATGAAAACTCCGTGTGGTCTATGGATGAAATGCTCAGTCCTCGTGCACCGCCTCACCCCACCTCTTGCAAGGAATTTCGTGCTGGCTTCAACGACCGTCGCATTGGATACGGGGACGTTCACAGTGAACAACAAGATCTTGAAGATGAAAACGCGAACGAAGATGTGCCAATAATCATGTCACCCGAGGAGTATCATAACAAACTGCAAAGGGATGGGCAAGTGTCCGGTAAAGTGGGCAGCGCTGAACTTGTCCAAACCAATACTGATGGCGATTCTCTCAAAGTTCAGCTCGTGTATCTCGTGTACCCGCACAAGAACAAAGCCAGCAATGACGGTGAGGAAACTTGATGGTGACGAGGTTGAGCACAAAAGTAGATCGTCTTTTCTTTCTTACTCCGACTGGCTTGCCAAATGTTCATCGTATGTTTCTAATATTTTAATCTTATCAATGGAACACACTAGGGGTCATACATTTAATGTTTATATTCAGTTATAGATGAGCATTTCAATGGATGAAATTCAACATGTACGTAATGTCTCATTATATGATTTCGAACGAACGATAAGAACGATCGTGTTGCAACCCTTGAGTCTCGATGATTTTATCCCAACCCTCGTCTATGCCCTTGTGGCAATTCTGAAATCTTCGAAACATTCAAATCTTCGTCAGATTTCTTCAAATTTGCGTATTTTCTTTTTGACTCTCACGCACGCTCACTGATGTCAATCCAAGGTTTTATCATTTGACCTTACGTGCTTCGACTGGCTAACTCATTTGAAATGTTAATTTTTCTTTTTTACTTCTCTTCCGCAGAGAGAAGAGCTGGTCAGAACGATCAGGATCCCTGGCAAAATGTGAGTAGATTAATTAAAATTCTTACTCTTCTGTCCAATCATTGGCGAATTCATTTTAAAGCAGTTTCTTATTATTTCTATTTGATTAGATATTTCTAATTTCAGAATGCAAATTTAAGAAAACAGTTACTTATTTGATTTGAATTTTGTTCTGCTACAAAAAAAACATAATAGTTATACTCGTGAACTTGCATAATTTTATTGTATGGAAATTCTTGGCTTTAGGAAAGGTTTTTATTAGGCACATGCTTCTTACCGCTTAAAGATACTTAAAAAATTGTAATTTTAGTACGTAATCATCAAACAATCTCTTATTCCGTTCAATAATTTGGGTTTTTATTTAAATAATCACCAAACTCATGCTGCTGCCTCAGGGGCGCAGGAAAGATGACAGTCGAGTGCCCTCGGCCCTGGACTTCCACGGGGCAGGGGCACCGCCACAAGGGGCCTCGTTCCCTCAGTATCCTGGCTACCCGATGCCCAATAAGCATCCCTCGGACTCCGCTCCCTACCAACCCCCACACCATCAACAATATGAGTGAGGATAATATTCCTAAATAAAACATTGTATTTCACGGCTTAATCCTTTTAACGATCGAGATCACATTTGTACCCTCACACCATCAACAATATGAGTGAGGATAATATTCTTAAATGAAACATTGCATTTCACGTCACAATTCGTTTAGCGATCGAGATAAGATTTGTATCCTCACACCGTCAATAATAAGAGTGAGGATAACATTCCTAACTCCATCAACAATAAGAGTGAGGATAACATTCCTAACTCCATCAACAATAAGAGTGAGGATAACATTCCTAAATAAAACATTGTGTATCACCGTATACTTCTCTTAGTGATTTTGGTCCTGCTTCTAATCAACGTAATTTATTCGGTTGACATCTGCAACCGTTTATTAGTCAGATATTGAACACCGCAGCAAAAGAATAAATGTGTCCGAAGTGAAATTATGGTGCTGCTACCATATAAAAATCGTAGTGACTTTTTTAAGTGGTAATATTTTACTTATTCACGCTGTCATTATTTTACCAATAACTATTACTTATTCAATATTACGAGTGTAAAAGATATGACAGCGTAAATGGAATCCATTTATTTCATGAAATTATATCTAGTATTTCAAACTCATTTGCATGCAAGTAACTTGTTCAAAATTCTTTGAAACTTGAAATTTCTTCTTTTTACTATCAATTTTTAGCTGTCACCAATCCATCGTTTTTTCAACGACATTGTCTCACAATCAGTTGAGAATATTTTATTCTAAATAATCGAAAAACGGCTTATTTATTCTAGATTCGAGTCATAATCATTTAATCCTACGTGCTTGAGTATTTACACTATTTTAATTCCAATATTGAAAATGTTTGAGAAAAATGAACAAATTTTAATTTAAATGTATTTAAATATTATTCTAAACTTTAATGAAATATTATTCTAAAATGTAATCAAGTATTATTCTAAAATAAATTAAAATATTATTCCTAAATGTATTCAAATGAGAAAATCTCTTTTACAACTTTTTAAACCCATTTTTCAAAAGTTTATATTTCATTATTTGTGTAGTTAGGCAGAAGTTCTTCATTTCATTTATACAGGTTTTATTGAAGACCAGAGCGTAGTACTATTTATTAACAATTTTCTTATTTTTTTCGATAAGTCTTATTTTAATGTCATTTGGTAATCTGATTTTGATCTCCAAGCTCCAGAAAGAAATTTCGCTCGGCTTATAAAAAAAACAAGAAGAAAATTGTTAATAAAAAATACGCTCTGGTCTTCAATAAAACCTGTATTTTATTATTTTTACATTAGAAATTATATCATGAATTTGTACAGATATGGTCAGCCATCACAGTACATGTACGAGAGAGAGCCCGTACACCCCGGCATGAGCGGCAGCCATCAGTCCCTCAGCGCCCGAGATAAGACCATCAGTTGGCTCTCCTCCGGCGACAGCTCCAGCTTCACGCCCTACAAATCCAGTGAAGCTTCCTCGTCTACATCGGCAGCGTCGTTTGGTAATGGTGAGTGTATAGTTAATTTTCATGAACTTGAAAGCGAAAAAGGAACTTGGAAAAGCAAAGAAATTGTCAAGTAAATTCATTTCTCATTGTAAATATGGTGAATTTATTCAGTTTAAACAACACAAATCAGCCATCTCTGAGCACACTGTTTCCGATGAAAAAATCAACAGACTACGGACGGAATTTTCAGTATAACATAAAACATCATTTCTGGTACCGGTAGAGACTACATTATTTATATTATTCCAGATTCGAACAAAAAATCAGACGACTACAGAGGAAAGCCAATGTCGGAATGGGAGTTCCGACACGTTGCTCACTTCTTGATCGAAGCCACGCACGACTTGGGCATCCAGTACGAAAACACAGACCTGTCGCAGCTCAGTAAGGTCAACGGCCAGAAGCTTCTTAACATGACGCCTGAAAACTTCGAAAAATTCGCTCCTACGGAAGGAGAAAGGATATTCGATTATGTGCGCAGGCACAGAAATCATCAGTTGATAACTGAAGGTATAATTTTTTTGTCGAATTGTTTTTTCGAATTGTTTTGACAAGTTCCTCGATACAAGCATATCTTATGCATGTTCACTGTTGGATTTTTAAAGAGTGTTGGTTGTTCTAAAGATTGTTGAAAAGGTGGTTGGTTGTTGTAAAGAGTTTTGGTTGTAAAGAGTGTGTTGTTGTTCTTCCATATCATAATTCCGATATTTTGCAATGAAATAAATCTTTAGACGCATATTTTCGACCCGTCAAAAATATTATTGTTACATTCTGAACTTTTTTCCAAATTGCAGGTGGAACTGATAGTTTCATGGATGCAATTTCGTCCTCAAGCGGTAACCATGGTAACCAGCAACAGTCTATGGAAAATCCCCACCCGAGCTACAGCTCAGCCTCTGGCCCAGGTTACTCCGATGATATTTTCTCATACAACTCTCCCATGGACACCAGCTTTAGCGAGAAAACTTTCGGGGGACCATCAAAACAAAATTCACCTTACGTTCTTAAAGTCCCTTCCCCGTACAGCATGAATTCGGCAAATCCTCCTCCTGCCAGCTCATCATCCTTTTCCGCTGATTCTGGGTTCTCATTTGCCATCAATAACTCGAGCTCGTCTGAAGTTCTCGTTAATCAGCAGTCACAATCAGATTCGGTACTGCATCAGACTCCGCCATACCAAAGGCATCCCTCGAACAGCAGTTCTCATCTGCATGGTATCCCGTCGCTGGAGAACAAAGGATCTCATCATTCCCAAGTACAAAGACCATCGGCTGGTCCTTCCTCTTTCCATTTGGAACTCTGCCGACCAGCCTCAAGCATGTCTGCTCCGTCTGATTTAGGTCAGTTCCTGTGCCTGATTATTTAACTCTCCTGAAGGGCTGCTAGACTTTCCAATTTCAAAATAATATCTTAAATATGGATTTTGTTAAATGGTTAATTAATCATTCGTCTTTAAACAAGACTAATCTTTAGTCTTTCCTTTGAATCAAGCAGCATGTGATGAAATAATCGTTATAACTTGATTGAATCTGAACAGAGAAGTGATTGTTAATCACATATGACTGATTGTTGATCTTATTAAAATACTTTTTTTAATTTCATCTGATAAAAAATATTTTACTGGATTATTCCTGATTAAGATGTTGCAGAAAAAATATTTCATAAAAACTATTACTTCAGACGAATCCAGCGATGACGATGATGATGATGAAGCCGACGACGAGGACGACGACGAAGAAGCAGAAGAAGAAGAAGCTGCTGAGGAGAAAACTGAAGAAGAAAAACCGCCCGAACCTCCAAAGAAGAGAGGACCAGGGAGACCTCCCAAGCCTGGTAAGGATCATGCGTCTACGTGTTATAGTATAGTGAGAATTACTTATTATTATTGTTATTATTGTTGCGAGTTATGTGAAGTATCAACTATGAAATAACATCCAATCGCTATAAGAAATTAACTATGATTTTTTACTCTAATTATCTTTATTAGTATAACAAACTGCTTTCACTGAAAATATTTTAACGTGAAGTAAGAGAAAAAGTTTACCAGAAATACGATTTTATTGAAGCCTGCAGTTTCCTATTGATCATTTCGAAAGTGTAGCATGCATAATTAAAGGGAAATGAGCTTGCTAAAATATGTTACAGAATGCAATTCAAAGTCCTACTTTCCGTGTGTTCCTTTCCTAGGTACATAATTTTTAGATTTTTTTTCTTGTTTTACCTCATGCTTTCTTGGAAAGATTTCGATGTGAGTACCACGATTACGATTGATAATTTTTGTATTTATTTACTTCTCAGCGTTAGTTTTCCTGTCGCATGCAACTTGTGAATTATTTTTATCGAAAATTCTCGTTTTTGAATACTAACTGTTCTTTTATATTTTGGAAGATTAATTATTCCTATAAACTAGACAGGTTTGACACAAGTGGAGTCATGCCTATGTTCATTTTATTTGCATGTATCGGTTAAGTTTGTTTGAGTGCATCGCGTGAAGGTATTAAAGAATTGGAGAAAATTCGTTTGTGCCATTATAGTAATATTTCGGACCGAACTTAATCGAAATTTGTTATAATGATTTCTTGTGAAAGGCCTCTTCATTTCTTAAGAAGTTACGCGCATAGATGTAATGCAAGTCTATTAGACTAAATCATTACTCATAATACGAAATTTAACCTAATTTTGTATTTTCAGAAAGCGAACGTAAGAAGAAGAAAAAGACCGGCAGGCTGTGGGAGTTCATCCGCAACCTGCTGCTCAGCCCCGAGACTTGTCCGTCGATCGTCCGGTGGGAAGACCCGGAGGCTGGCGTCTTCCGGTTTGTGCAGTCGGAAAAAGTAGCCGAGAAATGGGGCATGCGAAAAAACAATAAGAAAATGAATTACGAGAAGCTGAGTCGAGCAATGAGGTATTATTACAAGGGAAAAGTTTTCGAGCCTGTGCTAGGTCGAAGGCTCGTTTACAAGTTTGGCGTGAACGCTAAAGGTTGGAAACCAAACAACGGAAACTATGACCAATGATTCCGTGAACAATGGCTTATGATTCGTGCATCAATGATCATTAACCTCGCTAGTGCAGGTATATATCGTAGATAAAAGATTCGTATCCATACAGCTTCCTTGAATGTAAGCTGACTGTTTTTTAGTCTTGGTTAACTTTGAATCTAAGAGTTTTCTGATATTTTAGATGTGAATGTAGCACCGAGTTAGCTCTTCACGTTTTGTTTCATTTCGTTCTCCTTAAAAAGTTAAAACTGGCACAATAAAAAAAATTCTGCGTTTAGAATGTACCTGACTGAAAACCGGTGTAACATTACGTACTTCCAGCTAATATTTCTTTTATATCCTCACACTAAAAAAGTAAATTAATATTTCTTCTTCAGTCTTTCTGGATTTTATTTGTATTTTGATACTTTTCATCAGAAAATAACGCAAGTTTATAAGAATTTTAAATTTGTATTTAACCTGGGCATACGTTAATTCTCATATCGGATAGAAATTGGAATGTGATATTATGTAATTTTATTCTGTCCTGTGATACACAGAAGGAACCTTACAACTTTTAACCCTATAAGCTTTTGTTCATTTTTTTTCGAAATTTATAATCAAATGGTGTTCAACTTTTGTGCTTGTAACATTTTCACATTTATCAGCACATGAGACTTCGTTATGACTTGATGTTGTTCTGTATGTGCTGAAACTGTTAAAGCCATTCCGCTGTATTTTTTAGATTATATTCGTTCTTAAAGAACTAATCAATCATGATAAAGTTTTAATTTTATCCGCAATGCATAAAACTGCGTCTTGTGTCACTGTCTGGAAAATGACTGCTTCTTGCTAACTATTTTTTTACACTTTTTATTGAGTTTGTTTTGTCCATCGAATGGCCAACAAAAAGTGTATCTTTTTCTGCCGAAAGTGCCTCTCCATGTGCAATTTTTTGAGATACCAATTCATAATGGATCGTAAAATTTATGATTATATTTTAAGTTGGCAATACTGCTAATAATTTATTCATGTCTATTTCACGTATTTGTTGTATTCTGATTAGTCTGTATAACATTTATTCAGGTTAAATACAATAAATGAACAATGCACTTCGAATCGTTTACTGGAAACGATGAAATCAAATTTATTAAAGCTTCCGTGTAAAAGAATTTTCTCTGTGGCTTTCACATTTTCATGACGTACTATCGTATTTGAAAATATACGTGTTCAAGTTAAATTGTCCCGCTACCTTGATTATTTACTACAACTGATGAAAGACTAAGGCGTAAATGCATAATAGTCATTTGTCTACGTGCTCTTCCTGGGAATAAACTTCTTTATGTTCAATTTCAGTGAAACTGAATTATAAAGGAAAATATTTTCGGAACTTGTAATGCCTACTGAGTAATCGTTACCATTTTTCTCGCTAAGATGCTGGAAACGCAAGTTCATTTAAACGCAAGACTTGAAAACGCAAGTTCATTTAAGTCGTGAATTATTTACTCTAACATTCAAAATAAGAACTTAACATGCTAAATTTTATCAGTGTTCACCTCAATAAAGGAGCCCGCTACAATACTGGCCGAGAATTTTTTATACGTACAAAGTAAATTAATTAAACCCATGTGAATTTACGGAGTCAATGTCTGACTTAGTTTCAGGAAATTTATCCAGGTTTGGCTACCTAGTTGATACTTCAGTCACTCTAAGTTGGCAATTTCGTCTTCTTTGTGGGCAACCTGCGCTTCAATAATTGTTAAATTGGTCCGATCTTTCGAACTTCTTCTCTGTCTTGCATCGGAAATCGCTAACCCTTTGAAAGACTGCCTTCATGAGAACAAAATTCAATATTTTATAATTTCCAGCAATGTGATGATGGCTTTTTACTCATGTTTATTTATTAGCCTAAACATGGTCTATAGAAGTTGTTGGACGCTCAGTTGTACACAATAAATGTTAATTTTAGATTTTGCACGTTACAATTTTTGTAGTTCTCCTGTTCTCACTAGGGTTTAATGTTCTATTTCTGTTGCGTATGTGTTAACTCGTTGCGTAAGATGCAAAATATTTATTAGCACGTGTCATTTCCCAGCAATAATTGTCAACTATTTACAATTTTGCTGTTCACTTTTCACAATTTTTACAAGTTGATTTGCGTTGAATCCTTTTTGAATTATTTTTATCTCGCCGTTAAAAAAAATTATTTGATTTCAGATTCGTACTAGTACAAATGTCAGTTTTATGAATTTTTCACAAAAATTTCCCTGGCTGTTCATGCGTTTAGTATCGACATAGTTACAGGAAAAGAATTCGAATAATTCCGATTTATTGATAAGCAGTCCATGGTGTCTGTGTGAATTTTTGCTCAATGCGTTAATGTAATAAACTGCTGTTATTATTGAGTCGTTTTTCATACCTCTGTGATGAACCCGATACCTTTACGATGAACCCCATACCTCTGCGATGAACCCCATACCTCTGCGATGAACCCCATACCTCTGCGGTGAACCCCATACCGCTCGCTGACAGTCAGGGGAGATGGAAGACAATTAAATAGTGGAAATCATGTATATAAATCCAGTTCTGTAAATAAGGTAAAAAGTTTACTCATACATCAAGATGGAAGTGCACAAAAAGTTTTGAAATGTTCTACACGAACTCTGATTCCGTTTTGAACAAAAGAAATGAACTGTTAACTGTGATCGGAATCGAGTGTATAGACATTATTTGTATTACAGAGACACTCCCCAAAAATCACGGGGGGGAAATTTTACCAGTTGAATTTCAGTTGCCAGGTTTTGATTGCTTTCATAATTTAAGCGAAGAGCAGTGTAGTAGAGGTGTAGCTCTGTGGGTTAGAAGCTTTTATGGGGCCCAACAAGTTAAGTTATCAGCAGAGCACCAATCAGCTAGAGAATCAGTGTGGTGTGAGCTTTCTTTAAAAAGTAGGGATAGCCTCCTTATAGG